GGAGCAGACAGGACAGGATGCCGATCTGTCACAGGGCACAAGGCAGGGGAACAGCCAGGACAGGATGCCGGTCTGTCACAGGGCACAAGGCAGGGGAACAGCCAGGACAGGATGCCGGTCTGTCACAGGGCACAAGGCAGGGGAACAGCCAGGACAGGATGCCGGTCTGTCACACGGCACAAGGCAGGGGAACAGCCAGGACAGGATGCCGGTCTGTCACAGGGCACAAGGCAGGGGAACACCCAGGGCAGGATGCCGGTCTGTCACAGGGCACAAAGCAGGGGAACAGCCAAGACAGGATGCCAGTCTGTCACAGGGCACAAGGCAGGGGATCACCCAGGACAGGATGCCAGTCTGTCACAGGGCAAACACTCACACAGTCACTATGGGCACTTTTAGAGGCACCAATTCACCTGAACCACATGTCTTTGGACTGTGGGAGTAAACCAGAGGACTGAGAGGAAACCAGCATAGATACAGGGAGACCATGCAAACTGCCCACAGAGAGCTGGGGGCCGGATATGGAAACCACAAGCCTGGAGGTGTGAGGCCCCCACGCTGCCCCCAATCTCTACTAGCTAGAGGGTCACTAGCTCTCCAAACCTGCTGCAGAGTGAAAGACAACCAGGTCTAATCTCCACCCCTGAGGCTGATCTTGACCCCTGATCTTGACCCCCTAATCTTCTCACTGTGGATCTTCAATTCCACCCCACCCCCCCCTCCCCTCAAGCCTCAAAATGTACTACTGGCAAAAAATAATAAGATAATAAGAGTTTTTTTTTTCTTTTTGTAAACTTACAGTGAAATTCCTAAGACAACATGGCCTGGTTAACAAATTACTTATGACCTCAGTCTTTGCCTCAGTTGCCATTTTTCAGTGATCGCGTTTTTTATCTACTTTGGACCGGATTATTTTTCCAGAATTGATGTGCGTTGCTGACCTACAGCAGACAAGAGCTTCTGGACATTTGGACTCATAATTCCAACAGTTTTATCGCCGATCTCCGACTTATCCCAGATATCTCCAGAACACCGGAGGCTGCCCACTCTCCCCGGCTGGGCAGAAGTGCACGCAGGCGGCGCCGAGAACGTAAACAAAGGTGAGGTAGGTGTGGAGGGCTACGAGCTACAGTAGGCTGAAGCTAACACCACACCGGCTGCCTTTACCCAGCATTTTCGTCGCCAATGTCCATTCTCTGGCAAACAAAATGGATGAGATACTGTACGGCTCTCCATCACCAACAACAGAAGGATTATGGACTCAAATGTCATGGTTTTTACGGAAGCATGGTTGAACAACA